ATGTTAATATACACAACTGAGCACAGAAGGGGCACAGTCATGGAAACTTCTCACCCATAACCAAATACCTTGAGGGGCAAAGGTGAAGGATCACAGGCACAGGGGACATCTGTGACAACTGTCACAACATACTTTGTAAAGACAACATTCTGCATCCTACTTTGTTGAGTACTTTCTGGGGTCTTAAAAGCTTGCTTGTGAGCATTCATGGAAGATGCAATTATTGGTCTCTTCCCATCGAGAGCAAAGGAGACTGAAGGAAACCAAAGACTTGGAGGAGCAATTAGCCCAAAGAACTAATAGATCACATGGCTACACGAGTCCGAGACCCAAAGTACTAGGAGTGTCCGGCTACCACTCCAGCTGTCCTGGCTGGGATCAGAATGGAGGGTCCCAGACAGAGAAGACGAAAAGTAGAACAAAAAATCAAATTCACAAAACAGACAGGAATAACTATTGGTCCAACAGAGACTGGAGGCCTCCTCCAGACTAGGCCCTAACCTTCTGACCTGGAACTGAAGCCATCCCAAGAGATCACCTTTCAGCCAAACAGTAGACAGACCTGTAAGATAACCAATAACTCCCGAGTGGAGTGTGTTCCTTAGGACAATCAATTAGAGAAGATCAAAAGGACATTTCCCCCAAAGCAAAGATGAGATGGCAGGAAAGGGTAGAAAATTCAGGTAAAATTGGCAAAGTGGCAGCATCAATGGGCTCAAGCGTGGTCACAATAGTGAGGTTGGCCCAGGATCAGGCAGTGTTTCATTCTGTTGTGCATAAGGTCGCTATGAGTTGGTGCTGACTCGATGGCACCTAACAACAATACAACAACAATGGGAAGAATGCTGACGTATTGTAGGGAAAGTAACCAATATCATGGGACACTTTATGTTCCACACACTATCTAATGGGAAATTAATTTGTTTACAACAACAATGGGAAGAATGCTGACGTATTGTAGGGAAAGTAACCAATATCATGGGACACTTTACGTTCCACACACTATCTAATGGGAAATTAATTTGTTCAGCAAACTTTCACCTAAAGCACAAGAAAAAATTTTTGAAAAAAAAAAAAATTAATATAAACTATGGGATGCCATTCTACTCTGCAACACACAGGGTCACCATGAGGTGGAATCAATAATGGCCAATGGAAAAACACTCATAAACTATAGATAACTGAAAAGAAATTAAATGTTTAGTAGTAGACTAGAGATCAGCGATGAAATTAGGAAAGAATAAAGTAGATTTTGATACCAGTATAAACCATGGTATTCTGGTGCCATCATATATAACAAAGAAGAACTATGCTCCACAGAGGTTTCAAGGAGCTCTGGTAGTGTAGTGCTTACAAGTCGGGCTGCTAAACTCAAGGTCAGCAGTTTGAAACTGTCAGCTGTTCTGTGGGAGAAAGATGAGGCTTTCTGCTCCCGTAAAGACTTACAGCCTTGAAAACCCTGTACAGGGTCACCATGAATTGGAACCAACTCCATGGAACGTGACCTGCACCAGCGGATTTTTGAGGAGATCGCCGGGCCTATTTTCTGAGGTGCTTCAGGGTGGAATTAAAAATCCAATCTTTCAGTTAATTTGTTATTGTTGTTACGTGCTGTGGAGTCAGTTTCGACTCACAGCAACTCTGTATGGGGTTTCCAAGAAGTGGCTGCTTGATTTGAACCACTAACTTTGCCATTCACACAGACCTCGTGGTCCACTGCTTATCCTATATCACCTCGCCAAGACTCAGTTAATAGGTGAGGGTTTTAACAATTTACTCTACTCAGGGACTCCATATTGCTACAGAGTTAAGGAAAGATGGGAAAGCTTCATCTCTCATACTTCAGACATGTTATCAGGAGGTACCAGACCCTAGAGAAGGACATCATGTTGGTAAAGTGGAGGGTCGGCAAAAAGAGGCAGACCCCCAATAACATGGAGTGGCACAGTGGCAGGAGCAATGGGCTCAAGCCGCACAACTATGAGGATGCTGTAGCACCGGGCAGTGTTTCGTTCTGTTGTGAATAAGCTTGGAACCAACTCGACGGCACCTAACAACAATCACAACATGGAAAGACAGGAGTGTGGTGACACTGTAGGTTAAGTGCTGGACTGTGGACAAGGTTGGCATTTTAATCCCACCAGCTGCTCCGTGGTAGAAAGAGGAGGCTTTCTGCTCCCGGAAAGATTCAGAACCTCAGAAACCATATACAGGGTTGTTATGAGTCGGAACCAACTTGACAACACTTAAGAAGAGCAACAAAGAAAGATGACCAAGTTTAAAAAAAAACATTTTTTTTTTTTTTTTCAAACAACTTTACCATTTTTATTTCCCTCTCAGAAGGGGAACCAACTGGGGGTAGAAGTGAAGGGTGAAGGCTGGTAGAATGTAACTTTTCCTTTTCCCTCGATGTTGTTTGTTTTCGTTAAGAGCCATCTAGTTGGTTCTGACTCACAGAGATCCTGCGTAGGGTTTCCGAGGAGTGGCTGTTGCGTTTGAACCACCAACTCTGCACAGCCATCCTCTGTCTACATACTTTCATATAGTTTGAAATGTTCACAGTGATAATATAACTCTTTGTAAAAATATATTTACTTATGTTGACTCACTTCCCTTTGCAGTGCAAGATTAAATCACTACTATTCTTTGTTTCTGTTTAATGAATTCCTATGCAACTTTTCCTATTATTGGTTAATTTGTGTTTTCCTTTTACTTCATTGCCATGGACACCAGCCTCATGGTTCATGTTTTCCAGGAAATTCCTTTGTTTTTCTTCAGTTCTGTGTACCTCTGTATCAGCCATGCTGAGGTACAAATCAAGGAGCTCTGGTAGCATAGTGGTTTCAAACTGGGCTGCGAACCTTAAGGTCAGGAGTTTGAAACTACCAGCTGCTCCGCGGAAGAAAGATGAGGCTTTCTGCTCCCGTAAAGATTTACACCCTTGGTAACCCTGTACAGGGTCACTATGAGTCAGAACCGACTCCACGGCACATAACCACTACCTCCCTCGGGGGTTCTAAAAACATGACTTCTTCTACTAAGAAAGAAATTCTTACTCAGATTTCACAAAAAACAAAAATGGAAAAATGGAAACAAATTTGGGTTTGTCAATACTTTTTGTTGAGTAAGAACAATACTATGATCCACAATCAGCATCAATTCATCTAAGAAGAGTTCTTTGGAGTGAGGGGGAGGGAAGAAGACAGTAGGATATTTGATTCCTAGGCTTTTGAAAGCCGGCATTTCCTTCCCCACCCCCATCCCCCAATCAGGTCATGAAACAAAATATATTGCCAACATCCAGAAAATAAAATCTCATGCTACAGTACTGCTGTTTACATTGATCTCTCTTACTGAAAATATACTTCAGAGGTAGGAGAAACCTAGTCCCTGAGTTTTGTTGACCATATTTGGCTTAGATATGTTGTTACGCCGTCAGGTCGGTTCCGACTTACAGTGACGCTATACAGGGTGTCTGAGGGTGGCTGGTGGGTTTGAACTGCCCACCTTGCGGCTAGTGTAATTAGCAAGCAGTCCAGTGTATACCCTACAGCGTCGCTCTAAGGCTCAGACTAGGAAAACCAAATTTATCATGAAATTTATTATCAAATTCAGACAGGAAGAAGTAGGGAGTCTATGCATAAGAAGGGACTTTCAACTTTATTGGTAATGTTTGATTTCTTAAGAAGTATACAGAAATACAGGGAGCTTTGGTAGTGTAGTGGTTACGAATCGAGCTGCGAACCGCAAGGTCAGCAGTTCAAAACTATCAGCGGTTCTGCGGGAGAAAGATGAGGCTTTCTGCTCCCCTAAAGATTTACAGCCTCGGAAACCCTGTGCAGGGTCGCTATGGGTCAAAACTGACTCCACGGCACACAACAACAACAACATACAGAAATACGGGAGTCACTTTCGGTAATGTTTTGTTTATCATATTCTCTGAAGAATGAAGGCTGAAAAATCACTCCATCATGGCTGGCTTTGAGAAATCACTAATGTACTGGAATGTATCCATCTCAGGAGGAAATATCTGAGGCTCCATAGGGTCAGAGACATTGGTGGCTCAGTGGTAAGTTTTCCATACAGGAGACTTAGGTAAGACTTAGGTTCTATTCTCAGCCAATGAGCTTCCTGCATGGCCACACCTGTGTATCAGTAGGATCCTGTGTGATGCTGTGAAGCTGAATAGGTCTCAGCAGAGCTTCTAGACTAAGATGGAGTAGGAAGAAATGCCTGGAGATCTACTTCTGAAAATCAGCCCGTGAAACAAAACCCTATAGCTAACGAGGAGGCACTGTCTGATCCGTAGCAGACTGTGGAACTGGGTAAGGTTTCATTCCCTGTGATGGGCATGGGGTCACCAGGGGTCAGGGCCTGAATTAAGGAATCCCCCACAGCAGCTACTACCACCAACCATGTGGTTAAGCGACTCGCCCAAACAGAATTCAGAGAACTAGTAAAGAATTTCTTGCCCGATTCTCCAAAGTCTCGCTCCATGCAAGCAGAATTCAGATCTCTGTTAGGATAACTGTTTCTGGGAGCATCTGTTTGCATTTTTATCTTCTACTCAAATTAAAATGAGAACCTGTATAAAATTCAATTATTTCTACAGTGGTTAGAACACCTTATTCCACCCCAAAATGTAGTCGGAAATGTATGCCATATTGCAGATAATAAGAATTCTGAAATATGTGAGTGAGAAGCGGGCTTATGTCTTCAAGCGTATTACCTATGTTTTCAGCCTGAAGCGTAGCTTTGAGGAATACAGAAAGGTTACCCTATCCTTCATCTTCAGAGGAAACAGTTCTACACTGTCAGTATCTATGGTAACTTGCTCCCCAGGCCAAAAACACCAGAGATTCTCTTTTACATAATAATGTTTTGATACGCTTCTTTTCTTTTCTTCTCTATCTGATCACCAGAATTTTTTTAAAAACAAATATTGGCAGTAAAGGGAAGGGAGGAGAAGGAATTCTGGATGCACACCTATGAATACATACCTCACAGAGAAGTGCAAAGTGGATGGGCCTGGTTTCTTGGCCAAATCATGGTCAAGAACTCGGTGATCTAATTGAAGCCAGTTCTGCTGACCTCTGTGAGAGCAAAGAGAAGAAAAAACATTACTCAAAAAGTCAGAGAAATGTTCCACACTAGTCAGTACTGACAAAGCAGGGGGGAAACAGTTACTCATACATGCAGGGTACAGAAATATAACCTGGTAGAACTGACAAGGAGGCTAATGGAGCAATTTCTAGCAAAGATACAAGAGCACCTCCCTCATAACCAGCGCTTCCATAGCCAGTAATTTATCAAGATAAAAGTGCCCATGTGAAATATGACCTATATATAAAACCACTCACTGTAACACTGCTTGTAATGCTGAAGATAGGAAAGAACCTAAACGTCCAATTGGATATTGTTCTAAAAAGTATTTTAAACTGTACAACGAAACACAATACAGCCACAAAAAAGGATTAAGGACCATTTTTACAAACCTATTTTGAACAATATTCAAGATACATGAAAAAGCAACATGCATAACTGAATATTGTAAGTTGTTGTTGTTGTTCATTGCTGTGGAATCAGTTCCAACCCATAGTGACCCTGTATAGGGCTTCCAAGGCATCGCTAGTGAGCTTGAACTGCCGACCTTGTGGTTCAAACCTACTTTGCAGTTCAGCGCATTAGCCCACAGAGCCTTAAGTGCCATCAAATCAGTCACGACTCACAGAGACCCTGTATAGGGTTTCCAAGAAGCGGCTGGTGAATTTGAACTGCCGACTTTGTGGTTTACAGTCCAGTGCTGATCCTACAGTACCACACCAGGTGTCCTCAGGGAGGGGAGAGACTGAAACATTGTCTTCAGAAATACATAAATCTAGAAGCAACTTTATGTGTGGTTTTGCTGTTATTGTTAAGTGCCGTCAATTTGGTTCCAACTCATAGAGGCCCTGTATGGGGTTTCCATGGAGTGGTTGGTGGGTTTGAACCACTGACCTTTGGTTAGCAGTCCAGTGCTTATCCTGCAGAGCCACACCAGGAATCCAAGCCTCATCTTTCTGCCGAGAACCAGCTGGTAGATTTGAACTATTACCTTGACGTTAGCAGCCTAGTTCATAATCCACTCTGCTACTATGAATGCACTAATATCACCATTTTGTGTCTACAAATTAGATTTCCATTAGTGAATGTATGTGTACTGGGAGAAGATGAGGCTTTCTGCTTCCGCAGAAGATTTTTAAAAACCTTGGAAACCCTGTACAGGGTCACTATGAGTCCAAAGAGACTCCATGGTACTTAACGACAAGAACACTGTATGTATCTAAAATAGCTCTGGGAGGAGAAATGAGAAGCTGATAACACTGGATGTCTTTGGATGTGAAACACTGAGTGGTAATTTCACTATGTATCCTCTTGGACCTCTTGGACCTTTTGAACTTTGAACCAAGAGAACTGACCACATATTCAAAAAATCAAGATTCAAAAGGAAGAAGTTAATGAAAAAAAGTACGGTGAAAAAGAGAGAGCCCAGGAAAATTGGTATAAATATGATTTCTAGCCATGGTTTATCTTTTGCTCTGTTTGCCACTTTTTTCTAACAATGAAGTCTTGTTTTCTGGGCACAGAATCCTTACCTTGAAGTGAAGAATCTTCTTGGACTTCAGGTTCACATAGAAATAGACGGGGGTTCAAGTCCTGGTCCGCTAAGGGAATATGTGACCTTGGCCTTAGCAAGTCTGAGCTTGAGGTGCAAGTTCTTAAAATGAGAAGTCCCCTTCCGTTTGTGGCGAGAATCTGACTCTGATAATGTCACAATGTTTAGCATACAATTTGTGGCTGTTGTTAAGTGCTGTCAAGTGTCAAGTCAGCTCTGACTCACAGTGACCGTAGATAGGGTTCCCAAGGGGTGGCTACTGAAAACTGTCAACCATAATGTTAGCAGTCCAGTGCTTATACAACAGCGCCATACCAGGACTCCTAGCTCACGATGTTGTTGGTATGTGCCGAGGAGTCAGTTCCGACTCATAGTGACCCTGTACAGGGTTTCTGAGGTTATAAATCTTTATGGGAGCAGAAAGCCTCATCTTTCTCCCATGGAACAGCTGGTAGTTTTGAACTGCTGACCATGAGATTAGCAGCCCGATTCATAAGCACTATGCTACCAGAGCTCCTTTAGCACACGATAGGCACTAAATATATCAATGTTAAAATTACTATTAAGTATAAAATCTGTAATGGTTTGTATGGAGTCCTAGCATGATGCTGTAGGCTCAGCACTGAATCACAATGTAGGGTATAGCCAAAGGTCAGTGGTTCAAACTCACCAGCCACCACTTGGGAACCCTATACAGGATCACTGTGAGTCAGAACCAACTCGATGGCACTTAACAACAACAAAAATGTTTTATATGGATTGTGGTGGCACCACGCGATAAGCACCGGACTGAGAACCACAAGTCTGACATTCAAGTCCACCAGCCACTCTGCAGGAGAAAGATGATGCTTTCTGCTCCTGCAAAGATTTTTTACAAACCTTGGAAGTCCTATTCAGGGTAGCATTGAGTCAGAACTAACTCAATGTCACTTAATAACCACAACTGTTTTATGTAGTCCAGAAGGGGGAAATTTCTGGGTAAATGGAAATAAACAGAGATAACAATACCACATCTTTCTATTTAAGAAAAGTACAGGACAAAATTCTGGGTGCTCTTCCTTTACGCACATTATGGGTCAATGGATAATGGAGCGCAAATTTATTTATTTTCTCAAGAACCTCGCCACATGTGAGTATTGAGAATTCTTCTTAGATTTTTGAGCTCAGAGATATAAAGGACTAATGATATTGCGGATATTGCAGTTAGTTAGCACAGGATTGTCTAACTAACTGATTTAAAACAATAAATCCCAAAAGGGCCTAGGCCCCATTTTGCTTGCTCACATAAAGCTCAACTTAAAGACATGAAGATGTTGGTGAGGTATCAAGTGACAATGAAATTAGTCATGAGACAGAAGACATCTTACAACTTATTTTGGTCCTGAATATATAGAAATAAGTAGTCTAATACCATATTTCATCATGTTTAGGTCGCAAAGATTTCAAGACATAACTCAGTTTCATAGATGTCAAAATGTTAGTTTTTGAATCCCTAAGATGTCATATATTATCAGGAGTCAAGAGATTTCTTACCGAAAACAAGAGTAATTTGGAATAATTCTGTATGCTTTTTTGTAGTGGCAGCATTTGAAAAGCAAAATGCATGTTGATATGAACTTGTATGAAATCATAACCAAGACAGTAAAGCAAGGTGCATAATAGCATGTCCACCATAAACCAGTTTTGCTAGCCACAGGAACATACTCAAAACAATAATTTCTGGATGAAAATTCTTACATAAAGGTGTGGATAGATAGATATAAATTTCTAACAATGGTTCCTTCTGTGAAAGAAGCCACATCTGGAGTTGGGAGGGAATCGTAAAACTAGGACTGGCCTTTAACTATGATGACAGGAGAATATTTACGTATGGCTAAAACAAAAAATATCTTTAAAGGTCAAATTAAAATTAGATTGAAAAAATCTATACAAAATCTCACCAAGAAGAACAAACAAGATGGTGGATCGGGTGGAAGTGCAATGAACAGCTCC